CTCTTGTTTAAATCAATTACTGGTATTTGTTTAGTCAGATATCTATCGAATAAAACAATCAAAATAGTTCAAAATTATAAAAAAATCGATATTCGAGACTTTCTGCCTGTTAAGTACGGGTTACGAAAAAGCTTTGTGTTTATAAAATAAGGAAATATACATATTATATATAGAGATTTAGAGATATCAGATACTTTTCTAATAAAGTATTCCCTCCTTCAACTCTATCTTTATAACATATGCATCAACATTTTGAAATTAAGTTACAATACTCTTATAATAATCTATTGTTTAATTGTCTCCTCAAGATTGTGTGTTAATATATTTAAGAAATTACTATTTAAAATTTATGATATTATATCTATTAGTTTAAAAGTTTTCAGAAATTGAATGCATAGAAATTAAATACATGTTTTATTGAATTTGCACAAAGAAAAATTGAGCTTCTGATGTAAAGGAGCTTATAATTTGTTTTAATAATTATTAGAATTTTTATTGTTTATAATTTATAAATGTATAGTTTTTTTTTCTTAAATCAATGAACCACTGTTCACAGATCACAAGGAGGCAAGAGGATACTCTTTTGTACTGCCAATTCTCTGATAGAATAAGATGAAATAACACCGTCCACTAATGCGCATTGATTTTCGCATTTCCAATGCCGTCATTTTCCCCATTGTTATTCAGGTTTCTCCAATTTTCCGACGCTCCACTGCTGCTGTTGTTGTTGTTTAGCAAACGGATCCGACGGTGAGCTAATGGCAGCGGATGTGGTTAAAAGCATTTTCTCTGATGCCAGGCTACCTTTTTTCATAGACCATTAAATTTGCATTTACCAACGCTGACTGGCGCAATTGGCTGGCTGTCAGGCGGCTGGGGTTTCCATCTCAACTTGGCATTTGCCAAAAGTCTGAAGAATGCAAGGATAATAGACTTGGTAATAAATATTTTATAAGAAAATTCTCAAGATAATGGCGTAAATCAGCTCAAATATTTGATATAATTCACCATTTTATCAATATTTATAGAAACAAAATAATTTTCTAAATAGTTTTTGTTCGTTTTGAGTTCTCTAACTTTACATTAAAGTAAGCAATACATATTCTCTTAGTAACTTTAAGAGCTGTGTTTATTTGTTATAATTTTTTATAAAACATTTACAAAACATTTTCCATACGAATTATCTGCAATCCTTTTAAACTCAATTCAACTATACCGTGAAAATTTGTACCGACATTTGAAATCCTTTTTAAAGTTCCACCATCAGAAGCGCTAAAACCGTTGGCACGTGCCCGATGCATAAATCGATGTGGGGATGAGTATTGTCGACATCTGCTTCTGGTCTGGCGCACATGAATCATTCATGAATCGTTTTGGCACAAATGCAAATCGTGCAAATCTTTACAACAAACAAAAGGCTCCCCTCTCCCGGCAACACCCGCATGGCGACACGGAAAACGCGAGCTAAACAATGTAAAATGTTAAATAATTATTTAAAACAGTTGAACGGTGGGGCATAGGCAGTGTCCGTACGGTTTTTGCACATTGAAAGGCAACAATAAAATGTTTACTGTTTACTTTTTGGCAAATTTATGGCCTAATGCAGCTGCCACTTGACCAACACTCCCTCGTAAATCCAAAGGGGGAAAGTCACAAAAAAAAAGTGTATGCAACAAAAAAATAAAATAAAAGAATATAATGCATACTACGGGCTGATTTTGGAATTTATGCAAATAACACAATGCAACCGGAAAAAAATAAATAAAAATTATTTACATTATGTGAACACTAGAATACAAGAAATATATTTGAACAAAATGAAATGTAAATGATTTTGAACGGAATAAACCAGTCGTACATACTTGTTTTGGTGTATGATTATCTACGGACTGGCTTTAGTATTAATATTTTATAGTCTTTAATAAAAGGAATTATTAAACAAATTTTGAAAAATTATGCATAATGATTTATAATAATTAACTTGCGGTATGGTAGATTAAGTTTTAAACTTGTAGCAAACATGAAATATAATAAACAAAACTTAAATCAAATATGAATTCATGAAAAAGGCCAAGACTCACGATTTGCTTTAAGTATAATTCGATTTACGATTCGATAACTGAACATACGTTTTATGAAACTTAGATCTACTAATACTTCTTTATAATATTTAATAGGTATTACTTGTGTAATGTAAATTAAACGTTAAACTTGTAGTAAATATTAAATATAGTAAGCAAATCTTAATTCAAATATACATTACTGCATGGCAGACCAAAAATTGTTTTAAGTTTAATTCGATTACTAAACATATTTGTTGGAAAACTCAGATCATACTTATTATTATCAATAATATTTTATAGTTAATATAGTCTGTAGATTAAGCTTTAAATATAGTAAATACAACCTAAATCAAATATACATTCATGAATGGCAGACCAAGAATTAAGATTATTTTGAGTTTAATTCGATTTACTATTCGATTACTAAATATATTTTTTAGAAAACTTAGATCTTACTTATTCTTTTCCATAATTTTATATAATAATTAACTAGTAATCTGTAGATTAAGCTTTAAACTTATAGCAAACATTTAATAAAGTATATAATATTTTAATCAATTACACATTAATCCCGATTGTTTTGAGTTAAATTCGATATACGATTCGATAACTAAACAAATTTTTTAGAAAACTTTGATCATACTAATACTTCTCCATTATGTTTAATAGTTATAACAAGTAGTCTGTAGATAAACCCATAAACTTGTAGCAAACATTAAATATATTGTAAACAATACGTTAATTAAATATACATTCATGAATGGCTGACCAAGAATCCCGATTGTTTCGAGTTTAATTCGATTTACGCCAAATTGGAGTGAGCTATCGGAATCAAATAGCGACCACAGAGAGAGAGAGAGAGAGAGTGGTAAATATGTAATCTGTCAAATCAGGACATTAAATTAAATAACACCTTTGGCAATGCTAAGCACAAGCAGGCCCACGGCTAAGGTGGGAGGAAGTTGGTCAAACAAACAAATGTTTCGCCACATCGCCTCAAGAGAAAGTGGAAGATTTTAAGGCAAAGGGATGGCGAATGGGAAATGGGAAATGCAACTGCGAATGCGAATGCAAGCCAACCTGGCAATTATATTTATGTTCCCATTTACCAAGGGGCATTCTGTTTACTTGAAAGCAATTAAAAGCAAACCAGAAGCAGGAATACAAACACACCGATACTTCATCATATTTGTGTGCGAATATTTGCTTAGTTCTGGACCCCCCAAGATAGGGGTTGAGTGGTTGGTGTGTGTGTGGACGAAGGATGGCGTCCTCTAGGATACTCCAAAGTGGAAAGGCCTCGCAGTAAAATGGCCACTCAGGAAACGAACTTCGTTTATTGTGTCAGGGATATATATCTTTTTCAGAATTGTTTGTCTGAGTGCGCTCGGAATGTAGACGAGCGTACTAGCAGCGAGTCAGAGCGATGCACAAATAACCTACGGGGCTATAAAAGAAATACGTTTACTACGTACTAAAATTGAGTAAACGCTGCCATTACACAGGCTGCAGCAGTCAGAGGTCCTTTTGCCTCCTGAGGTTCCTAAAGAGGTTTCCCCGAGTTTCCCCGAGTTTCCCAGTTGTGTTTTGTCCTGGGTCTTATTTGTGCTCTGTCCTGCCGTGCTCTATTATTTTGAGTGCACACAAACTTCATGCTGTAAAAAAAAGACAATACTCGGAACAATCCTGGACGCAACTTCAATTGTCCAGCACATAGACATGGGCTTTGGTTTCCCACTCATCAATTAATCTCGTTTGCAGCATTTACTCAAATCAATTAGGAACTATCACCACACTCCGATTGATGATAATCAAATTAACCTCGTTTTGGGGTAAAACAATGACAAACACAAGTGATGAGGATATCAATGTTAAATCGTCAAGGGATTGTCTTAGTCATAGAGAGAATGCAAATGACTTCTTCTCACTATAAAGTTGCTAAAGAGAACAGGAGTGTGAATAATATTATATATTTTCTATAATTTATATCATTAAATGGCTAGAATTAAAAGCTATTTTTATAACATCAAGGATCTTCAGAAACTTAAAAGAATTCCCCTTAAAAACTCTATTTAATTTCAGTTCCCAAAGTTGTAATATATCTTTCAGTCACAAGAGACTCTTTTTATTATTTGAAATATACTATATTTATCAGTATTTTATTATTATATCTTTCCACAAAATGCAACCTTTAATGCAACCCAAAATTCTTTAAACAAATATCTTACCGTGTTTTTTTTGTCAGTCCACAAATTCGTATGCAAAATGTCGGATTTTAACAATCATCAGCTCGGTGAGAAGCCTTAACTTGAGGCTAATGGAATGGAAGAGTGTTACATCCCAGCAGCCACCTGACTTGCCACTTTGCCAACATTTACATTTACATTCGCAGCAAAAAAAAAAAGAAAACACTTGCGGATGAACTGTGAGATACAGATACAGTTCAAGGTACATTTTGAGTAACAATCAAAGCTTTTGCATTCACAGGACAGCCACCTCCTCCTCCTCCTCCTGATGGGGGAAAATGTTCGATTTCAAGTGGCTTACCACATAAATTTGCACTTTGCTTTGTTTACAAAGCAATCGAACGAACAAAACAAAAATACAAAAGAAAAAAACAGGAAAAATTGGCAATTGAAAAGAATGAAATAGAGAGCTTCAGGTTTTATCCCACAGATTGACTTTAGGTAATCGGGATAATGTTTAAAGCATTAGATTCTTTATGGGACAACTATAATATTATAAGATGATTGCGTTTTCTTTTCTTATATTATTATTAAATAAATAAGAGTAAGAATACTGCAAATATTTGAAAGCGAGCAAAGTCTATAATTTCTTCAATAAAGTCATAGTATTTTGATTAATTGCAATGAAACTTTGTTTTTGTCACTTACTTTCCAAAACCGTACTCATAGATCAACAAATACCCAGCTAAAATTAATATAGTTCCCTTATTTTTGGCATTTTTAATTACTTTTCGCATCATTGAGTTAAGTTTTCAGCAATTAAATTGATTGACTAAATCCGAGACTTAAATAAAACAATTTCTTATCCTTAATTTAGGTTTATATTAGGTTCCTGAGGTGGCTTTACCAGCATGGCACTCAATTCCTTGGCATCATTTGTCAAATAGTGACGAGATCTCTTTTGCAACTCTTCGGATTCTTGGACGCGTTTTGATAACTTTTCCCTATTTTCATCGCTCAACTTTCGGTTGCCATTATCGAAACGTTCTAGTTTCTTGTATATATTATGCAAATCCAGATATATATCGGCAATATCCTGATCAACAACTTGCATTTGTTGCATATAAGTATTTAGGGAATCCTTCATATTCGTTATGTCCTTGATGAGATTCAAGTGGAGTTCACACTTAACCTTGGGCATTATCAAGTCCACAATATCATTCACATTTAGTTTATTACAATCGGAAATCGATTGAATCTGATCCAAGGCATTGTTCACAATTTCCTGCAATTGTAAATTTGAAGGATTTTCTATTTCAAGGGAACTGCCGCTGATATAGTGAAGGGATTCCATTTTCTTCTGCTCGGTTTCAGATTCCGAATTTTCTGTATTTTCTGTATTTTCCAGTTTTTCAGCCATTATTTCTTGTTTTTGCCAATGAAAACGATTGAATTTTAGGATAATAGAAATTTGTTTTGGTACCGAGAATTTTGAATAGGTAAAAGAAAATAAAGATTAAAATTAAAGAAGTGTTTGGTTAATGGAATACAAGTTATGTGTCAGGGCATGCTGGGTTTTGTTTTATAGATAAATGATTTTAAAAGGCTTCATCTACTTTCTATCATAACATTCTACCCTTCTTTAGAAAATATCTAAAATTTATATAGAAAATAACCACATTATCCTCTAGCTATATCTTTAGTTAGCTGAAACCATAAAAAAAACCTTAGTTTTCTAAATACAAGCTTTTGCTTTTTGGCTTGAAACATTGGAAACTAGATCATGTTGCCTGCGAATATTGAAACAAAAATCAGTAGCATATTTCCCTGATTTATGCCTCTGGGCCAACAGGGCCTAATTCAATTGCCTAAATGGCCAACTGGCCGCTATTTCCTGCATGCAGTGCACAAAACCCACTCACTTGAACCTCGCACTTTTGTGCTCCCAGCCAGTTGGATATTTCGTTTCATTTTTATGAGGCATGCAAAAAATTGCCAGCAGAGTGGAGTGGAGTTGCGATGGCCACGACGATGGAGGATGGACGATGACCAGGTCCATGGAGAGTTCAGCGCAACGCTGAGCGCTGTCAACAATCACGAACCAATTGTCTATAAATACCAGCAGCGTTAAAGCAAACTCATTCGGATCGGGCTGGGTCTCTGGTCCTGATTCCCGAGCTGGTCGCGCGGGGATTCCCCCCCAATGGCAACCCACTGCGATTTCCGCCCTGTCGTTTTTCATTACATCGCATGTAACTTCCGGGTTGTTAAAGCGACACGCACCATGCTCCTGTCCTCGAGTGGAGTCCCAGGCTCCAGCTCCTCCTCCTGCTCCAGCTCTTGCTCCTGCTCCAGGACCCCGTTGTCATGGCTGCTGACAGCCGTGCCAACAAATTTTAACAACAAGCAAGCGTGAGTCACGAGGAATGGAGCTGTACCTTCAAGGATGTCGATAACATGAGAGCTTTGCCTTAAAGGATGTCGATAACATGAGAGTTTTCGGTTGAGTTATTAATATTATAATGAAAGAGAAATAGATAATTGTTACATGTTCTTAATGTTTCTTTAGAGTTCGAATTCGGTTGCGGTTTCAGTGAATAAACCTCAAAGGATGTCGATAACATGAGAGTTTTCAGGATGAGTTAGAGTTATTAAAATGAAAAAAATAAAAAATAAATAAAAAAAATGGTGTTATAAATTCGATAACATGAGATCTTTACCTTAAGGCATGTCGATAACATGAAAATTTTCATTTACTGAACTATCGGTTGAGTTAATAATATTATAAGTAAGGAAGAAAAGAAAGGTTGTTATATATAGTTTAAATGTTTCTCTTAGGTTTGAATTCGTTTGTGATTTCACAGAATAAATCTCAAAAGATGTCAATAGCATGAGAATTTTTAAAATGAGTGATCCTTTTTCTTGCTATTGATTGGGTTTTTACTTGTATACTTATATACTTATACTTGTATACTTATATAATAAGAAAAGAAAGGTGTTATATACGGTTCAAATGTTTCTCTAGAGTTTGAAGAACAAAAAGATAAATCTTTAAAAAAAAGAGTGTTTAAAAAATAGTTCAGATACACTCTTAATATATCCTGTTTTCAGGTTTGAAAAACATTTTAATGATTAATTTTATCGATTAATCTTACAATTTTTATTATGAGTTAAGAATAACTATACGACTTAAACATAAACTTAAACCTTTGCTTCAAAGATATATGATTTTCTGTAGGTCTAAAGTGAATATCTAAAGGGATACTTTGAAATAAATCTTAATTTAGGCTAAATTTAAATGTAGGCTAAATAAAAATGTAATTTTTAAGACAGAAGGACTTTAAAGACCTGTAGCTACACATTGACTATTTAAAGGGATACTATGAAATATATTTATGCTGAAAGTATAGGACCATTTAAATATTAAGTTAAGATACAAGGACTTCAAGGTCATTCATCTATCTAAGGGGATACTATGAACTAGATCTTAATTTATGCTAAGGGTCTAGATAAAAATATAATTATTAAGATACAATGACTTAAAGGACTTGTAGATACACATTTACTATCTAAAGGGATAAAAAGGGATTTTAATCTATGCCAAAAGTCTAGATACTCTTTAAACATTAATTAATTAAAATACAAGTACTTCATGGACTTGTAGCTACACATTTATCATTAGCTTATAAATTATTAAAAAAAACCCAATCCCTAATCACGCTGGCATCTCTAGAAGCAACGCACATTCGATCACCATTGGCACTCGCCTTGACTCTGGACTCTCGGGTTCCATATCCTTCTGCGATACCCCCCGAATCCCTCCAGGACTCCACTAAGCCCGTCCCCCAACCCAACCCAGAGTCCGACTGATTCGGTGTTTGTCCGCACGTTTAGAACTGGAAATGACAAATTCACTGTAGGTGGACCCAGTGCTCGGCCCAACTGCTCTCCCGCTTAACTCCGGCAACACACGTTTGCGACTCAGCAAACACCATCATCAATTTCCGTGGGGAAATCACACAAATTTTTGCACAAACAAAATGTTTGGTTGGTCACTGGGCGTAGCAGGAGGCACAAAAAAAATATATATAGCGAATTGCCCACGAATATTTGCATGTGACTCTGCGGTGAGGGTTTATCTTCTGAATGCCGGTTGCTTTTTCGGGCTGCGGCTTAGGTCCCGGTCCATATCTACATATTTGGGTGGAATATTGAAAAAAAAGAGGTAACTAAATCTGGATTTGTGTTCATCAACTGTGTATTTCAGTTTATTTCGTGCGTTTGATGGCCAGAAAGAAACGGTTTTGTAAGATAATACACTCAGGATTTTGTGATCCTATATTTGTAAAGAGATGGAAGAATTTTAAGGGTTATATCTTTATTAATTTGTATTCATATTATGTTTTATAGGTAACTTATTATTTTAGTTTATTTATTTAGTTATATATATATATACATAAACATTCTATATAGTCTCACTCGCACATATATAAGTCGTAAAGATCCTGATCGGAAGACTATTTTATATAGCTGCCATAGAAAAAATCGAAAACTTTGAGAAAAATCTTAAAACTTTTCCATTTTTTATTATATTCTCCAATAACTAAAGCTATAGCCATTTTTTAATATTCTCTAAATTCAGTTTTAATTTTATGAAATTCGGACTATTAAATCATAAAAATTGTCATAAAAACGATCGGAAATTAGGAGAAAATATTTATCATTTCGGTGTTTTTCCTTTTAATTGCATACATTACCATAATTTTTTTTATATTATTATTTATTTATTTTTTATTTATCAATTATTTATTTCCTAGATTTTATTTGAAAATATGATACAAGCTAGCGTCTATCCATCAGATACAAATTGCTTCCTGTTTCCAGTCCAGGTCGAAACTGAGAATTATCTGTAGCAGCAGATATTGACCACCTCTCATTATCTCCTGTCTCGCCATCTACCCGCAACATTGCGAAACATCGCAAAACTTCGCGAAACATCGCCGCCAGTAGCTCCCTCTATCGGTCAATGTTGAATTCAGATCTTCCAATTAGAGAAGTAAAAGTATTGGTATTTACAAGACATCGTATACTAGCCATCGATACTAGCGATCGATACTAACCATCGACGTTCTCCCAACTCTAGCCCCAACGCCAGAAGGAAGAAAAACCAAAAAAATCTCAATGCTGCGCTAAAAAGTGAAAGAAATGGAAAATTACGGCGGAAAAACCTGTGGAAAGTGTCAAAAGATCGGGAAAACATCAAGCCCCACAGTGGAAAGTGTTAGTGAAGTGGGGGCAGTCGGTCCATTGCCTGTTTTTGTGTTTTCAATCATTTCTGGCCATGATCGGTGCGTCTTCTGTTGGCAAGTTCATTTTGTTGTTTTTTCTTATGTGCAAGTGCAAAGAATGTAAAGGCAAAGTGTGCGAAGTAGTGGCAGACAGGCCCGTGCTATGTTTTTGTTTTTTAAATCATTTAAAGCCAAGATCAGTGCGTTATTTATTGGCAAGTTAATTTTGTTGTTTTTTTTAATGTGCAAGTGCAACAAGTGTGTAGAAAATGTGTGTATCTAATATGTGCAATATCTTCGAAAATGTTTAAGGCTTTTTTTTATTTTTTTTTGTGTGTGTTGTGTACTCTAATTCTCCGTTGGGATCTACGTGCATACGCAATTTCAGTGGGTGAGTGGAAAAAACGCAAACTTTCTTATTTTCTTTTCCTCGAACTTCTCTGTGTTCGCGCGGGATTTTTTTCTGCTCGTTCTGTTTGTCTCGCTCTCGCGGTGAAGAGCGAGAGAGCCTCTAAAGAGATACGATCCACTCTTGTGGTTCTTAACTTTGATATTTGGACAATTGGAAAACCGCGTTTGTTTACCTTTTTAATTCTTAACAATTTGTACATATAAAAATTAAAAAAAAAAACAAAAAAATACTACGGACTAGTGAAACTTAACGAAACTCTTTTTTACAAATATTTTCAAGCCTTATTTTACTATTTATATATTATTACATGTTTTTATTATGTATTAGATTTTCTCATATAATATTTTATACGATTTTAAAACAATTGATTTTAATTCGATCAATTAATTATGTACATATATTATTTATTAATTTTTTTTTTATTTATTATATTTGTAAGTATCTCTTATATCTTCATATTTTATTTTTTACCAAATGATTTTTGCATGATCTAATTGCAAACTTTGGCTTGCCGAAGTTAGATTCTTGTTTAATTAAGATCAAAGTTGCACACTTAGAAGTGAATTTTTAATTCAACAACTGCAATCCTTTCTTCTAAATTTTTTCCTCACTTTTATATAACTTTATATTACAATACACATTCACTTACCTAAAGAAATGCCGCTTTTTTAAGTCTACCACAAATAAGAAGCAGCTTTTGGTCATTTGTTAAAACCCACTTGCTGGGAGGTCAAAGATCCGATCAAATTAAGACGAGGGGTAAAGTGGGTACCAACTTGATATCTTTTTGTAGCTGCGACTCGTTCCGGAAGTGAATGTACTTTCCCCAGTTATTGTTGGCAAGTAAGTCTGGGGCCGTGTAATTTG